GTCTTGTCTCTTACGTCGTTAAATTTATATTTTAGGCAATTTGTTCACAATATTGTATTGATGAGTACATGTGCTTTAAATACTGTCATATACAGTTTCTCGAAAACTCAACAGATGTAGGTGGTGTTGATTAAATACCAGAACCCAAAGGCATTTTTTTGCTTAATACGCCAAAATTTCCTTTAACAACCTTGGCAACACTGATGTTGACATCTTCAAGGGTACAATTGAATTAGGTAATTAAAATCACAAAGACAATTAAACAAAAACTACAGATATACAAGTTCCAATTTAAAAAAATCAAATTCATTCAAACAGCAAACCCTTTTGAACCACAATTCAAAAATCCAATTGACAATTAACTCTCATTCAATCAAACTATAAACCAACATCAACATACTATCTACACGACTTCTCCAGCGAAAGAATTCATTTCCTCAGCAGAGGGTTCAAAAAAGATTAAACTAATTAAAACAAAGAAAACAGCAGTGTGTGATAACATCAACAAATTACTAAAAGAACTGAATAAAAGATAGGAGCTCTAAGGTTACATTCTTTATTTAATTCAGCTCTAATGTTACACTATTTTCCCCGAAGTTGGAAAACTTCCATAATTCTACATTTCAATAAACCCGGTAAATACACACGAAACTTAAGGAATAGGCTAATTAGTCCCGTCCGAACTATAGCTAAAATATTTGAAGAACTAATTTTATCCAGATTCAGTAATTCTTTAAGAAAAACGAAGCAATACCGGACTTCCAATTCGGCTTCAGTTCTAAATACTCTATCACACACCAACTAACTCGCTAGCTGAATCGCTTGCCATTGCAGTTCATCATCAATAATACATATTAGCAATATTAGAAGACATTAAAAAGCCCTTCGTCACAGTCTGACATACCGGCTTACTTTTCAAACTTCAACAAATAGTAACTCCACAATGCTGTTACAACTTTATACACAGCTTCTAATCTAGCAGGATATTCAAAGACAAATGAAACAAACATTTTCAAACAACATATAAGTTACGCAAGGCTTATTCCTCTCCCCTCCCCTCTTTAACATTTGTTTATCTGATGTTCCTTCACCAATCTTTTGCAACCAAGCTCTCTTCACAAACGATATACTATCCGCCCGCGACAACCTACAAAACGATTTAACAACCTTTACGCAATGGACCGTAAAATTGAGAATCAAGATGAAAGCCGTAAATTCACAAGACAAAATATTCACTCTTCACAAATCCAAACCACCACCCCCACTACAAATGCAAAATATGCCCATTCAATGGCTTTCAAATCCAAAACCAATAAAATGTGTAGGACGCACATTAGATACAAAATTAATATGTAAAGAACACATCACAACACTGTTCACAAATCACGAACAAAATATTCTTAACTATATTCCATATTAAATTAAAAATCATATCTTAGCAAAAAGGTGGGAAATCGTCTACAAATGAAATTCAATCATCGCTAACTTACGCACGCCCATACGGGCACAACCAATACACAGATATATTAACAAGTTACAAATAATCTAAAATAAATGTCTTAGAAAAATTACCAAAGCCCTATGGATTATTAGTAAGCAACAATTACACAGAGCTAAGAATGGAACTCCTTCATGACTACATATTAAAAACACCCCAAAATTTCTAAGACAGACCAGTTTCGTCAGACACACAAATAACTTCTCAGAATAATTTCATGATACACGAAAGGTGTTAGAAACCCCCCCCCCACCCAAAAAAATTATATAGGCAAATAATACAACTATTACAACCATATAACACCTAGTAATCAACTTTCAATCTAAGTAGCTCTAGAAATGAACATCACCAAATTAAAATGCATGGCTAAGCCATGAGGATAATTACCCTATGAGATGCATTAGTGTATATCAAGGCAGAAATGCCGAACAAATAGTAATAAATAAAAAAACTCAGGATGTCCGGCCACCTAGTCGTTACAATAATTTACTCGGACAACGTAAGTCTGGTTTTGAAACAGTGTCAAAGTCTTTTACATCGCTTGTAAGGATAACAAAAGTAATTAATTAGTGTGTTGACAAATAAAAGTAGGTAAAGTTCTCGTTTTGGACGCAAAATTGCTTCCGTGATTTGTATTTCTTGAATATTTCTAGTATATAATGTTTGTGCATTCATTGATAATAATGTATTTTTTACGATTTGCGTGAGGGAAGTTTAAATTTATTTCAGTGGTGACGCAGGGTAGACTTGTTAACGACCCGTTAGACTCGTTATGTTCATGAGAAATTATATAACCGCATATAGAGGACAAGTAATCGCCAAAATAATTTAATTAAAGAGTTTTTAAAGGAATAAGATGTAGCAACCGAATTCCCTTACCTTCCAGCACTCATGCTGTTGTAAAAAGTACAACAGCGAAACCCAGTTGCTTATTTTCGAAAAAATATCCTCTAACACGTGGTGTAACCAGAATCCGTGTTTTGTGAGTCCTTGATTCCGCAAAATCGAATGACGGCAAAATGTCTGTCCGCGCGTCTGTGAAGATCGCTACCGACTAAAACATTCAGCCGATTTTCTCCAAAAATGATATTTCCCAATAGACCAGACTGATGTCGTTGCCCCTTGAATTTGAAAACGATATTTTTCTTCATAAAAACTCTGATTTTTAGAAAATTGTAAACATTATTTTTTTCAGCGTTTTTCGACAAGTGCAATTACGAAGATTCTTCCCTTATTGAAATCTGTTCTTTAAAGATAGATTTTGGCATACGTTCATGCACCATTTATCAAACATTTAAGTTATTTTCGCATAATTTTGAGGGAAATTACGCCAAAAAGTACGTTGCTATTTTAGCATTACAATTTTTTGCTATTTATTCTAGGAGAGTTGAAATATTATTTCGCATTGTTTATGTTGTCTCATTGTTATTCAAAATTATATAAACACTCAAGTACATGTTAACGGAATGAAAAAAATATATATTAAAAATAGTACTGGCAAATATTGTGGATGTTGTAAAAAAATACATCGCACAAGTCATCGTGTGTCAAAAAAAGATGCGAGTGCTCGAAGGTTAAATACCCCTACTGTCATAAAGGTTCAAAAACAATGTAAAACCCGCAAGTGGTTGCAGGAGGTCTGAGCCAAATCTTGAGACCCAAATCCGTAAAGCCGCTTGGATTCACCAGTACGCGACACGGGTTAACTAATTGACGTCGAAATGCCTAGGTTAAAAATGTCTGCGCTTGCGCTTTCTTGAAAATGGCAGTCGATTGTAGTTTTGTTATGTGACTATTTTTCAAGCCATCTAAATAAGAAACTAGAATGCAAGTTATGAAAAATGCCACTGTCGCATGGGAATATGTACTCAAGTTATATTTGCAAATCAGCAGTCAGTTGAAGAAGAGACTGACGCTCCGCTAACATTGGATTTGATACTACAGGACTATCAGTGATGAAGTACGACACACAAGAAGATGTTACAGCGTTTAATTTAGTAAAAGATCTTAACAATCCGGCGCAGCCGAAAGATGTGAGCTTAAAAGACTGTTTAGCGAATACGCCCCTTTGGCTATCGAGCTCCTCAGTATATATCTGTTTTCAGATGTTTACAATGTATAATGGAAGTTTCCAGAACAAGGTTCTTAAAGATAATAATATATCACAAACATATTAAAAGGTAGTTTCCAGAATGTTTCAGGATATAACATATTTATCTCTCAATCGCCAAAACACATTATCATACATTTGAAAACGTGAAGCAACTGGCAGTTGAGGCGCTCGGCTGAGCGGTGCCGTCTTAAAGTTGCGGGGTGCGAATCTTCCTTGTTGCGTTTTCTTCGTCTGATGGAAAGTTCGTTTCAAATATTTCAGCTCATTGCCTTGTAAATGTTTGGAGATAATGAGAGAAGGTACCAGGATTCAAAAAAATTGAAATGAAAAATGATACGGAAATAAAAACGTAGAAGCTCAACAGAACTCATTTGACAATACACACAATAGGTTTCATCCAATTGGATACTTCATGATAACGACTTTCACATGACACACAATTATCCAAGAATACAATCGGAAGACAAACAGAACTTGCAAAACAGATCAATGACAAAGCTGCGAACAGACGCAGTGTCGCGGTCTGAAGCCGTGGTGTGAAAATTACATATTTTGCCAACAACTTAACCTTTTAGAGGGACTTGGAAATACTTTTCGGAAAGAACAAGTGTGCCATAATAAATTTAATGTTTATGAAATTGATAATAGAATATAACATGAAGATGTGTGTAGAAAGAATGAGTAATATCGTGTTTCCAGGCGCATCAGCTATATTGAAGATCCCGTGAGTGTATTGGATGTTTTATCCGAGAGATAACAGCATCCACACCCCGCTGGAACGTGATATCCAGCACCTAACTACACTTGCGGGATTTGCCAATCTACGTGCCTCCTCGGTGGAGCGTCCAGCCCAGTTGCAGAAAATTCTAGCTCCCAGCTGGCATCCCAGCTTGTAATGCATGAAAGCGTAAGTGTGTGCGGATGTGGGGGGAGGAGGCGGCAAGCGTGAAGACGGAAAGATTGTCGTGAGGGTCAGAGAAGGGGCGGGGTTGAGATGGGGTAGAGCGGGCGTGCGTGCGAGGGGCAGGGCGGGGCCGCGGAGGGCAACAGTGGAGGGGTGGCCGGGATGTCAGTGGCGGAGTGTGGTGGGAACGGGGTGCAGCTTGTAACTATGTCTCCAGCTATGCGGGGTGCAGAGCACATGATCCACCCAGTGGGGGGCGGTAGCTGATAGCTGGTGGCTATGTGCGCTTGCGTCCTGACGCATTATGCTCGATGGGGCGGGGCGGGCGGGGGCGGAGGCGGTTCGATGTTGTGTGGGATCGGCCCGACAGGCGGAGTGAGGGGGAGAGCGGTCGCGGCGTGGGGGCGGTGCGGCGCTGGGAGAAGGGTAAGGGCATGGGCGCTCGTTTAAAACCGCGCTCCTGTGAAGCCGCCAGCAGTTGGCTCCGCATCGGGGACGAGATGATGTCGCGAATCCTCAGTCTCTGCGTAGGCGTTGCCGCCTTCACCCTGCTGCTCGCGGGGGACCGCGCGGGGGCTGCTCCCAACAAACTACGTGAGTACATCAGCTCCTGCAAGTGCCCTCATACTCCTTCTGCATTGCTATACCGAACACTACATTGTATAGGATAAGTAACGTTTTGCTGCAGTGAAATGTGCCGTTTTTCAACAGAAAAGCCCAACTTTTTTTGGCCCTCTTGAATGTCGCGTTCTGTTGAAGTTTAAGTGTATGTTTTAATTTTTGCGAGATCTCTACATGAATCCCCAACGATTTTTTCGAAATTTTCTCAAAAACTTCAATTTTTTTGTTTAAATTTTCCAAAGTTCTCTTATAAAATGGTGCTGGTCCGTCTAGCTTACAAACTTCATTTTCTGAAATGTAAAGGTGAACCAGTAATTGGAATAAGGCTTCAGAAATTTTTGCTCAGTGGATTATGACGTCGCCTGCCCAATTCACAAAAGAACTAAGTTTGGGCCCCAATATAATTGTAAGAGGAAGTCACTTTTACAGTTTCCACTAGTATAAATTATGGATCAGTTACAAATAATAATAGAAAGTGTGTGATATCACTGTTTTGTTTTTCTATTTCATCATATACTGTGGTTTTCTGAGCTCTAAATCTAGCACTAAGTACAACTCGAGCTAAGCCTGTCTGGTAATCCCACCTTTTTGATGTGTCTTGGGAAATGTATAATTTGTATAATTTAAAGATTTTTTTGGTTTTAAATTAAGTACTTATTTCTACAAAAGCTTTATAATTGTTGGTAAAATAATATAGTATGCCGGGTGTCTTCCCAGGCTAATGTAACTATCTTCGCTATCGTCAGTCTCGTCAAACTGAAAAATGTTTTCCCTGAAGGCACTTTTCATTTGAAAACAGTATATATTTTCCCACACATTAAGCTAAAGTTGCAAGGTTGACGATTTTTGCTTTCTTCGTAAGCTGAGTTCTAAACTTCGTGTGTCTCATCGCCACATGCACCAATCAAACATCTTTGGAACGGCATAAACAGAGTCTACTTCAAGTCAGAACTCAAAAACGTCTAATTATCCCAAACTGTGTGTCACACACACACACACACACACACACACACACACACACATACACAAGACATTCATTAAAATAGAGTCTTAATGGTAATACCCACTTTTTGCGTCAGGAACACTGAAAATATTATATCTCCAAAAGCACAATCTCGAATTTTTTAACCAATTCCAGTACCTTTTATCTATAATACTTGTAGCTTAGTAAAAGTAAAAACCGATGAATAATATAACTATAAACAAATTAACCGCTTTTCGTGTGAGTAAATAGTAGGAACTAGAAATAACCTTTGCGACTCTATGCTGACATCTCCATTATTAAGATTATAAATCTAAAATGCAATTGCTAAGTCGAATTCCACTTAATTATTAGATTACTCGTATTTCTCATCGTGACGTGGATGGAGATATAACAGTGCCGCTGACAATTTTTTAGTCAGGGTGATTGGACTGAAGATAATATGATAATATTCCTCAAAAGAAGATGCAAGATAAATGTGGCGGGAACGATTTTACATAACGCTTTACGAAAACCCGTTTGGGGTATGACATGCATTTTCATCTAAATGAGATGATAATGACCTCGAAAGAATCTATTTAGCATACTTCGTATTTTAGATAAACGATAAAATTAGGTTACGTATTATTTGTAACTGTCAAAAGTCATTATTCTCTTATAGCGGAACCACAAGTGGGAGTATTGTTAAATTCAAAATATATCCTAGATCACTAGCCTGCCTCCTCCCTTCATTTGTTTTCTTACCGCTTCTCTCTTCTGTCCAATCATAAACTGTGACTCGTCGATCTTAAGAGGTGGTATACATCGATTGTTATGCCGATGTGCAATAAACCGCCTATATGTTATAAAATAACCTCTTTGATTTTAACATATTTTTCCATATTTGCGGCATTTTGGCACTCCTTGCTTCGCGAGACGGCGAATTCTTGACAATTTCCAAAGCACTGGTGCTATTACCTACGATAAACAAAACAACGCTCAAAGAATCCGTTCTTTTTTTTGACTAACCAGCAAATTGTGAAGAGAGAGACGTAGTACCGCTAGAGAGAGTGGTCAACATATCAACCGTTACACTACAATTAACCCCATAAGGGAATACAGGACCGAATTTACCTCCTACCCAAATAAACAGTTGTTTAGGAGTTCCCATTATTGCCGCCCCGGAAGAAATGTCAGTGTACATTCAAAAAAGTCATAAAATATCTTTTTACCATGAAATAAATGTTATTCAAACAGTTCTTGGTCACAAAGTGTGCAAAACACTTTATTCCATACTATTTACATTATAAGCCTTTGGGAGTAAATTTGGAGGACTTTTTGCGGAAGGGTTCCCACACCATTTTGTGCTTGGAAGCGCCGCGGTATCTACATCCGGCCCTGAGATCGGTCGCCACAACGCGACCTTGTCAGGCCAAAACCTACCTTGATTTTTTCAACTATGGTTAAGGTCGGTCACTTGGGAGTAGTAGGAAAAGTTGCAGCTACTGAAAGAAACCGGACGTCATTCCAAAAAGGAAAACAAAAATATACAGTAAACCCTCGATAACACGAACTCCAAGGATCTGAAATAATCGGTGTTCTTGATATAAAAATTCGTGTTATTGTCCGATTATTCGTGTTAAGTCCGATTATATACATTTCCTTATTACTACCTTTCTTTGGCGGGACCCAAATTTTGTTCGATTTTCGACGGCTTTCGTGTCAAGGGAGTTCGTGATAACGAGTGTTTACTGTATAATTATCTAGACCCACGAAGAAAAAGCGTTTTACAAATTTCGACTGTACTTCACGTATTTTGTGTGCTGAAATAAAAAAAATTGAATACAAACACTACATCACGCAATAATACAAAAAATAAGGGTGTCACTAGCTCAGCTTTAAGTTTCTCTTTCCCTCAGCTTGAACTCATTGATGGAACTTCCAAGTTCCTGTTTCTGAAACACCCGAATATTTAGAATATTCTCCTGCCTCTGTCTTGTCTTTAGACAACGAATATGAAAAAAATCCATACGGTCCAAAATCGATACACCTCGTAGCCCTGAGCTATTCTTCACGTTGAACCCGACGATTTAATAAAATATTTAGGTTTTAGTAAAGGAAAGTTGAACTTTTGGACTCTAGGTCGACAGAAAATTATCTATTGGCAGCATGACATACTACTTATTTTTATTCAGTAGAGGACTTAACACGCCACGTTTACAGAAAGATGGCGCAGTATACCGAAGTAATATCTTTGGGTTAATATAAAAACTTAACATTGTATATAAAGTGGAATAAGTTAGCCATTTTATGGATTCATCATAAAGAAGTTTAAAACGTAATTATCATGCTTCAGTACCAGTTGGATACTTAGAAAGTAACAGTACATTTATGGCTGGGAAATATGTGGATATCTGACGATTTTGTGCATGCTTCTTGGATCGCAGGCTGAGTACACTATATTTGTATGGTTTATTTTGTGAATGAAAGAGCCTTGCGATAATGCTACACTGGAACAAATTACAATAACTAATAATTATCCCCTAATAACTACGTTTGAACCAGAAAGTAAGAAATTAAGTTAAAAGGATCTTGTTGATGCAAATAATTTACCACCACCATGACAGATTAAAAAAAATAGCTTGAATATAATTTAAAAGTGTAGTTAAGAACTTCCTAAGAACAAACCATACAAACCAAGTTAACAATATGCTGAAGAATTAACGTGTGGTTATTTGATGAACTTCATTTCCTCCATATACATTTAGATTACTTTCCTGAAACTTTGTGCAATGATCTAGAAGCAAGGAGAACATTTCCACCAAGATCTAAAGGAGTTAACAACATATCAGGAATAGATAGAAAGTAAACCTGATGCAAAATTACTGGTCGATGCTACATTGGGTCACACCACAGGCCACAATTAAGAGAAGAGCAATACTTCTCTCAGAAGAGAAAAAGGAATTACAATATTCTTGTTTCAAATATTCTATACATTAAGATAATGTTTAATGGATTGTACTCCAAAAATTAAATAGCTTTCCAAAAATACGCTTTATTTTATCAAATATATTTAATAACATAACAAGCTAAAATAAATTTTAATAGTTAAAATATCGTAGTATGTTGTGAAACAAATAATTTGTGATGGAATAAAACTGAGCTCTGTTATGAAACCAGCATCCTAATTAACAATAAAATAATAACGTTTAAATTTTTAACATGTTTCCTTTAATCTTAAATTCATTTTCCTTGTTATTTATTTTCGAATTTATTTTCCTGAGTAAGTTTTATTTGTGCTTTCCGGCTCTGCTATCCAATACAAAAAGCTTCGTGTGATCGCATAGTTCCACAACTGAATATTTCTAAGTGAAGAAATGAATGAATAAAGAGTTTGAATTTTTAGATCAAGTAAATGTGTACAAATGAATGTAACTCGTACACCAAATAAATTAGTCACTAATGATCGGTGTTTATGCAGATTTTACAAATAAATTACACAGAATTCTTCTTAAAATACATCTGAAATCAAATCACTCGCCTAATTCCCAAAACAAATTAACATTGTCATGTTTCAGCTCCAACATTCAAACTCTGTCCGAGAAATGATCCAAATACAGTTCCGTGTTTGGAGGAAGCAGTTGATGGAGCAATAAAAGAACTTGCATCAGGTAATTGGTTCAACAATCGATTACATTTCTACTTAAAGAAATGTGAAGTATTATATATATATATATATATATATATATATATATATATATATATATATATATATATATATATATTGCTTCCTTAATTTCTTCCGGCAATGTTCATCATCTAATAGTAATGGAAACTTTATTTTGCAGGTCTGAAGGATTTCGGCATTCCTTCTTTGGAACCTTTACAGATCCCTCAGTTGGGCATTGGAGACCCAAACTCGGATGCTCCTGTGAACTTGAAAATCAATTTCACTGACATTCGCATTTACAACATATCGAATGCGAAAACATCTAACGTCAAGTGAGTTAATCACAAAGTAGGCAAATTATGCTCGAAAGAGTTCCTCAGAACAACTGACATTAAGGAAGAAGAGGAAGAAGAGAAATTAATGACTTTCTTGTTGTGTAACATAACGTATAGAAAAGGAAAAATGACCGTAAATCTTGTAGGTCGATTTACTTGAAACTGGAAATACTGACGTTACATTACCCTACTTTTATGTATCAGTGGGTTAATATTAGCTTATTTATGGTAATATTGTTAAAAGAGGTCGAAGATGTTTAAAACGTAATAGTATTATTCATCTAATATCATCAATCACATCGCATCACTCCCAATTGATTTTTTTAATTCAAAAAATAAAATATTCCATTTAACTACAATAAATATATTAGTACAAAACTAGAATGAAATATACGCACTTCCATGTTACCCGACACAAAAGATTTCATCGCATCATTATCTGTAAAAAAATGCTAACGACTTCTCAGACAAAGACTCTCATCTCGATCTGGTTATTGCTCATTTTATTTTGCTACGAAACACACGCAAACTGGATCCTTGCTCTGCTTCTGGAGAATTACAGTTTATGTCACTCTCGTTAATATTACTTTCTATTACCTCTGTTAACCGCTATAACTTCTGGAACATTCATGAACTATTAAGGTAAAGCTTTTCTTTTACTTGCGTACTTACGTAATAAAAAGAATAAATTGAATTGCTCAGATAAAAATTGGCGATTTTGACAGTAAAAGATCGCACAGTCCGGCACGAAATATTCGCAGCCTATGCAGAATGTCCGCAGCGGAAATTTCGCGTCACGTATTGGCTTACGAGAACGTTTACATGTGTGCGGTAGGCGAGCGTTGCGGCAGCGGATTGGCAGCGTTTTATTCGCGGCGGATTTTCACTGAATGTCGGGTGCGTTTTTTCCGCTGCCGCTCGAGTTTCGCTAATGAAAGCACGGCAAAGACTCGTCAGAAGTCGAATATTTTCAGCCTGCCTGTGAATCTCACACGTCTGAACGGTCAGAAAAGAATATATTAATGGTCTTCAGAAATTTCATTCATTTTAAATCTAATAAAGATTACCTTAAACTTAGATTTTTAAAATTTCGTGCTTTTAAAATTTTGAATATTTTATTAATGAAACGTTTTAATTTAATTATAGTTCTATTGAATATACACACAATACACACAGACACAAACATTACTGCAATAGACAGTCAATCTTTAGGACAGTAATCAGAAGTGTCAGATTTTCATACATATTCTTCGATCATATTAAAAATTTCATCAAAACAGTTACTGGTCATTCTGGCAAATATAAAACCATTTCTCGTCCTTAGAGGCATCAAGATATGAAATACTCGATATCTTTTCCTTTCTAGGTCAAAACTATGGGCTCCATTTCTTCGCTTCCGAAAGAGATATTAACGATTTGTCGGAAAATCGTAGATGAAGGTAGAGGCACTATGCTCATAAAATGTACTACGAGCAACTTGGCATTTTATATCTCCTGCACGAAGAGAAGCGAGGGCCTTTTCTTTAACGTATGAGAAAAACTGTTACCAACGCTGACTCGTAACTGACTCACCACTGTGAAACGAACCGCAAATTTCGTTGCCACGTCTCGCGTGGGACTTTTCGTACCAAACCTGCTGCAGGTGCTCCGGTTCTGTCTCAAAACTCGTATTGTAGAGCCCTGAAATCGAAACTGGAAAAAAATATGTTTCCTATTTATGTAGTAAATTACTTTATTTAACGCGTTGTGCAGTCAGAAAACCCATTTTGTAGATCCTTCAAAAATGATTGACGACAACATGTCTGTCTCTCCGTCTGCGATTTATACTCCCGATCGATCTCACCGAAATAGAACATCAAGTATTTTGATTTTAGGAGGAAACATAAAATTTTAATATTTTCTCAAAACTATCCCCAATTTCTTTATGAAAATGCTCCTCCAATATAGCAAAAGAAGCTTAAAAGTAGAGCAGGCCTCATTTTGTTCGAACTCTCTGAATTTTCGAAAATTGCTTTCACATATTTTCGATGTCTATCTTCAACTGCATTATTAAGTGAGAACCACTTAATACGTTTAGCCACTTGCGTTGCTCACTGATAAACAGATGAAGGGATGGAGGGACGGACGGACCGACGGATAGATGTTTTGCCATCATTCTATTTTTCGGTATCAGGGACCAAAAAACGTAGCTTCTGACTGCATCACGTGATACAGGATTTTTTTTCTACGCTTAGCAACGGGATTTATCCACTTTTTTGTTCCCGGTTCCCTGCAATCAGTGGCGAAGCGCGAGGTTAATTTTTGGATAAATTGAGTGACAAACATATTGTAAATACACAAACTTAATTTGTGTGACGAACGGACGGACGGACAGAATGACAGACAGATGCTTTGAAATAAAAACACATTTTTCTTCATCACGGGACCCAAAATCGAGTATTTCCGTTGAAATTTCGAAACCCATGTCACACCCTTACAGCCGCGGGTCGCGATAATTAGGGGTGGTAAATTTTCTTAGAATTTCTAAAAAAAAATACACAAGGAACAATTTTTTTTAAAATTGATTTTCTTTGAAAATTTTGAAATAATTTCACTTACATAAGTGAGGGTGGGGTGCGTAAGTGAATAATGGTACCCTAGGATATCAATTTTGAAAATATTGTTTACATTTATTTTAATTTTTCTGATATCATGCGTTTTTCTCGAAATATCCTCATTTTTTATGATTTTTTAACCAATTTAATTCTTGTTGATTACAGCGCCATCTGTTAGTCAATATGCCTTCAATCATAGATCAAATTTGAGTAATTTTTCTTGGAAATTCAAATCTGCAATGAAAATGGGGGTTTCTATTTAAGATTTCCCCCCCCCCATCCCCAGGGGGAGTGGGTGGGGGTGGAGTTTAGTATCATTGGATGTCCTCTGCCGAAACAAACATTTATTACCCTTTTTTTCGGAGTGCAATTTTCGAGATATTTGTCTCCGATAGATGTAAATGGATCTCCCGGTATGTTGGAACTCAGCAGTCACCAGATTTGGTTCTTAAACTCTATCACTGAACCTCCAACCGAAGACATAATGCTTCCAAGAGAGGCGAATTTTGCGACTTTTTGCCTTGCTTTATTGTCTATTGTTTTATGTACTTTATTTTACGTGCATGTTTCAAGCGGACTAATGCTTAAAAGGTAACAAAAGCGTGATATTTTCAAATAAAAGATACATTTCTTTGTATATTTATTTTTAGGTTGGACTATGATACCTTCATACTGTCAGGACATGAACGTGTGAACTTCATCTATGCCGAAGGCAACTACGTAATGGATGGTCGAATTCTTCTCATTCCTGCAAAGGGTGAAGGCAAAGTCTCTTTTACATTAAGTGAGTATCAATCTACTAGAATGTGAATTTTGATGAATAAAAAAGTAGTAATATCCTTCCAAATATTTTGCACTTTATATATTGTTGTTTTAGAAGATAAAATAGCTTATTTACGAAATGACCTCAAACGATTATGTCTTACACTAGACATTATATCGTAGAAACCCGATACAATATGTCTGTAAACTTTCTAATATTACTAAGGGTTTATTAATGAAAATAAATATTGATACGTTAAGCATTAAATTTTGCTGAATGTCAGTGAGCCAATTTAATGTTACGTAGAAGCCGAGATCTTGCGTTTTGACAATGCGTGATAAGGTATGGGGGGGAACAGAATATTTTAATTTCCAAAATCTCAAATAGAAAGTTCAAAATGATATTAATTTGTATATTATCGATAAAAAAACATTCGTGACCCATCGATTTCCAGTTACACTTGTCAACGTGAGTTGTATCTAATCGTCTCTATATTGCGTATAGGCGCTCTGATGTCAGTCGTATTTTCAAAAAAACTTTAAAGTGTCCGTTTTAATGAGACATATATATATATATATATATATATATATATATATATATAGAGAGAGAGAGAGAGAGAGAGAGAGAGAGAGAGAGAGAGAGAGAGTTTACATGACATTAGCAATTTCTTTTTTTCTGAGAAAATAAATAAAATTTATAAAATATTTTACAAAGTAACCCGAATCAATTATTTTAGTTTTAAATCTTGGCGACAAATGAAGGGTTCTGTTTGTTTACAATATAATTCTATAAGGCTTTCAACAGTTTCAACCTTTTTCTCGCCTTTTGATATTGCTCTTCATTTGAATAATGTTCAATATTTTTCAATTATTTTATTTTCAGCCAATTTGCAAGTCGACCTTGCCATGAAAGGAGAAAAATACGCTAAAAAGGATAAAGAGTTCCTTAAAATTACGGAATTTCCTGTGAATATCTATGAACCCGAAAAAATTTTCTTCAATTTCGAAAACTTGTTCAATGGCGACAAGACACTAGGTAAGTAAAAGCCGACAGCATACATTACAGCAAACTGCTTTTGTTTCTTTTTGCGCTCACGGCCGTAGTATATCACTCAGAATAATAGGTCATAAAAATTGTAGCAATTAGCAGCCCCATGTTTTGAAAAATTTCTCCATAATAAGAGCCATGGAATATACAGAAAATTCAACAAATACAACTGCATATTTCTGTCAAATAATATTAATTACACTTACATACTCATATTTAATACAATTCTAAACAAACAAAATATGTGAACCAAATAAATATTTCCCACACTTGTTAATAATCATCTACAAACATTACTAACTCTTCACTATTCAGCACCATCTTTCATATGTGCTAACATCTTGTGTTTCTGAAAATTAATTTCAAAATTTCAACTGAAGTTCAATTTTGGGTGTCTCTGATACCAAAAAAGTGTTTTTTCTTTCCGTCTGTGAACACCACTAGCACATAAACCATGCGTAGAATTTTTTTCCAAATTGAAGAATCCCTTGTACATCTGGCTCGAGTTCTAGTTTTGACATTTTGAAAACCATTCTTTAAAATTTGGGGGTATTTACATAAAGTAGGACATTTTCAAAATTTTGTCCAAAATGTCTCCAAATTTTTTCTTTAAACTTTTGGTAGGGATAGTGATAAATGCAGTCTACAATATGAAGTAAACTCCATATTGGTCTATTCTTTTGTTTTTTCAAAAATTACAAATATGTAATTTTTTAACTAGCCTCTCACGTCGATGATATTTACATTACCGGCAATTTGTTCACATTACCGTAGGATGGGGTGATTTTGAAAACTTTTACATTTGTTTTTGAAAAAAACTACAAGTTTGGTTTTGAAAATTGCACTTTTGAGAATTTTAGCTCATGAGTGGAAGTTGAAGGATACTTTACGTAACAAAACGAGATAGAAAATATGATTCATATCTTTAAAATAATTTAAAAAACCGCCCTGTCAAAGTCACCCTTGTTTTCGTGGTGACTTTGAAACCGTAAATTTAAGATCAGTAAAATGCGTTTTTTAGTGATAAGTGTCAATTTCAACCCTCATTGAACTTGACTGAACTAGGTGAACTTCTACGTTTGAAATAACAGGTAACAAGGAATTATTTTTATATTATGATAATTGAAATGAATATTTATAGAAAAATATATTATTAATAATTTATAATTTATATAATAATTATAATATATAATTTATATAATAATTTATATTGTATGTAGTAATGTAAGATTACGTTTAAAAAGTATCGGGTATCAGTATTCCATATGATGTGTACCATGGGTCTTGTACCGTGACCATATGGTGTGTAGGGTCTTGTACCATAAACGTTAAAATAAAACAAAAATTTCATCTCTTAGAGGCAGAATGTACTATTTGCGGCAAATTAGTTGCATGAGCAAACCAATTGTCAACGAATTACAAAGTGTAAACCAACAGTATTATCAACCTGAAAATTCAAAAATTGCAATACTATCTACTTATTCAGTATGTGACAACTTCTGTAGTAATAAAGTAGTAGTAGCAATAAAATGTAAGAAGAAAGTTGTGCATAATGCAGCGTCGACTCCTGGATATTCTCATCTGTGCACGGGCAGGTCCAAATTAATTCGGAGCAATTCTCTTTATTCATCAAGGGGAAAATATAGATCATCTCAGAACGTTGCTCCCCGCGAAAGCCGACGTACACTCGAGAACTGCGAGATCGTAAAGGACTGGTGGCTGCCGGGGTTGGAGGGGGAAGGGAGCATAGCGGACGCTCAAGGGTGGAAGGACCATTCCGCAGACGCGAGCAGTACAGAGAAGGCGCATTAACGGTATCATGGAATGCCTCGACGAGTTTTGATGTAAAATTCGACTAGCACTCATTTGTATAAGAGAATTAAGGCATTTCATGAAGAGCTTGGATCTCTGACCACTTCTTTGTCCCGTTCATCTCTTCCAATGCTTTAGTTTCTCCCTAGCGCGCGATCGCGCTGCTATGCAAAGTATTGGATGTAGGTATTACTAATACGTGTTTACTTTTTTGTAATACTAACTCGCGGTTGAAAGCACATTTTCTTGCACAGAAATCCCTCGGTTACACGAATTTCAAAAGACTGAAATAATCGGTGATCTTGTTATTAAAAATCATGTTATATTTGAATGAATTGTTACCCATCTTTCCACGAGTTTCTGTTTTGTAGGAATATGACAAATTTGTAAACTAGAAACACGCATAAAATTTCTGTTTGGGATTCAAAAATGGGACTAGGAATCATTTATGGGGGGTAACAATTTTGTGAAAATCATATGTATGAGAAATTAGTGTGGAATTTTTCAAAAACAAAATAAATGTATTAATATCATGACTATACTATACAATCATAAAACGTATTATTGATTATCATATCACAAGGAATAAAGGACATGCCATCATCAATTTCCTATCTTAACGAATTATTAATTACTACTTGTGAATACTTCACTGTTCCTTTTTAAACCATTTTTGTGATCATGATCGTTGTATAAGTGCCCTCATAACAAGTGTTAATTTAACTAGGAAATACCATTAAGTGACAAGAATTTTCGCAAAAGGACTAATGAATTGCAACATATTATCATAACGACGGTTTCTTGCCATTTGAATATGATGCGATCTTGCCATAGGTCTTTTCTATATCAAGATGGACTACTAATGAATGTTGGTTGTTGTAAAAGCCTGTTTTATGTGCTTTATTACATCTGACTTTAAATTGGTTTTCAGATATCTTAAAATCGAAGTACCACTGTAGTCGATAGTTCATGATTTTTTCTGAAATTTTACAAGTATTTTTTTAAATCATAAAAATGGTTATATAGTTAGTACTTTTAGATCTTTCCCTGGTTTGGGTATTGAGATGACAATTGAACAGTTCTAAATTTTAAGGAAGAGATTTTCCTATATACATCCGTAAATTTTGATGAGAGCATCAAGTCTATTAATTAGTAGTTTGTTGAGGAGAGTATAGGGGACATTATCAGGATGAGGTTTAGTCTTTAATACACCTACATTGTTGGATTAAAAGTTGATCTCTTGTATTCAAATGATTCCAGATTTATAGTTAACACACATCAATTGTAGTCTTTCTAATTTACAGTAGAAATTGTTGACATTTTATTGTAGAATATTAAAAAAAACATTAAAATGCGGTTTTAATTCATATATATTACTTCTAGACTCATCCAGTAATTGTATATTTATATTCAGTTTATTAAAGATACTTGTGAATCTGCTTTTATTTGATGAGTTGATTACACTGAGTTGGAGATACATTTCAGTTGCATTTTAATAATATGTTGGATGTCATCAGTGTAATATTTGGCTCTAATGTTAATTTTGTTTAAACCAAAATAATTTTCAAGAAAGTTTGGCTGCAGTAAAAAAGTATAACCTTATGTGAAATTTGTTACGACAAAACGAGTTGGAATGCTTCACAGGGGTTAGTCCAACTCTGGTGAAGCGTCCTAAACCTTACCTCTATCCTTATTCCTTCCCAATCTGGCCGATGGGTGGATGACGCAGGGCGCGAGCGCGAAAACGCTACCTGTCGGCGATTCCCTGACTTGACTATGCCTGACGTGACTTGGCTACACAGCGGCCCCTAGAGGGCGCTTATTAACGGAGGATTACTCCAGTGCGTTCAGCGCTCCTTGCGTCGATATAGATGCAACAAATTAAAAAAGCCTTCATGTTTGATGGAGTGGCTGCCTTGCTGCTCCGTGTATTTCAGTATAGAGCGCGCGCTGTGTCGTGTGCGCCCCAACTTCCAAGTGGGATGTGCACACAACAGGTTGGAAGAGTCTGGTATTGTGTTTCCCATGTACTCAGAATAATCTATATCGCCTAATTAACAGCTGGAACAGCTGGAGTGGTTTGGTAGAACTATTGACATTTTTTAATGACTTGTCAAAGCCTTTTAACTCGCGGCACACAAAGATTCATTAATTTTTTTTCACAAACAACAAACAAACAAGCAATCCGAGGATGGAGAGTAAGGCACACCCGCTCGTCACAGTCTCCCGATTAGAACTCCGTGAAAGCTCTAAACAACTAAATTTCTCAAGATTGACTCTTGGTAAACAAAACTTGTAAATTACAAGAAATGGTAGACACCTGTCACAATTTTAAATCAGAGCAGTAAATATAAAAACATCTGTGTATGAATCGTACTCTCATGCAAATGTATGGATGAATGAGTGTGTTAGAAGTGTGTTTGAGAGATACATGATTCAAGGGAGTGAGGGCGAGTAGATAAGATAAAGAGAATGAAACGTTGCATATTTTAAAGGCAAGACCCAATTTCAAAATTCTTCCAGCCCACACGTTAAATGATCACTGTCATCCTATTAACCGTTTACGCGATTTAGTTTCGCTCCTGACAAAAACCTTTACCTACGTTCCAATAATGAAATCCAGCTATTTATATGAACTAAATGTATTATATCTATTATAATAGACTCTCAATGCACACCGATACAAAATGAGATTTAAAATAATTTAATTATTGTATCAGAACGCCAACTACCTGAAACAATTTTGGGAGAGAGAATATAAATATAATGTAATTGGTGGTTCTTTTATAAATAAATATTAAGTATTTGGAATTTCCTATTCCTTTCATTAGTTAAGTTAATTATATATATTTAAGTCATTTTCTCTGCATTTAATGATTTTTTTAAACTCACAGTTTATTAAATCAATCGAATTTCTGAATGTCTTTACAGACTCTTCCACGATTAATTTTCTGCTCTCCGATTTCAGTTCTGCTGTACAATGTTTTGGACACTACTTATGTTAATGTTTGAAATATCGTTCGTAGGAATATACAGCAATTAAATAATAAATTTGTTTCTATTCCTAGGTTCTTCTATCAATAATCTCGTCAACGAGAACTGGAAGGAGATTTGGCCCCAGCTGCAGGATCCTCTGCAACAATTTTTAAGTTACTCATTCCGAGAATACGCTCGACGTATCTTCGATAAGGTTTCTCTAGACGACGTGTTCCTTGTCAAAGCACCCTGAGACTCCTAGTCAATGGTAAAAAAACGAGGTTCAACATGGTACGACGACCTGTTTTCAGTTGTGTATTTATTAGCTGTCTAAATAATTGAATAAAAACTAGCTTATTGAAAAAAATGCTATATCTATTTATTCGCTGCAATTTCTTATTTTTTCCTAGAAGTAATCTTAGAAGAGAATTTTAACACCATTTGAGTCAATAATGATTTGAGTATTGTAAAAGAGAAACATTAATTTCCTTAAATGTAATCTACATTAAAGCATTTTAAAAACAAGTGTGAAATAACATTGACATTAGAGGATACTATGAAAACAATGTTTTTAACACATTCAATACATTACGGGTAACACGTTAAAGTTGGCAGTCATGTTTAGGTTTTTATTTGCCACATAAAAACATAATCTAACAGCAATTTCGCAATTCTAACTTAGAAATGATAATTTTTAAAATGCAATTGGTGTTATAAGTACATTTTAATGGTATTTTCGGCAGAGTCTACCGCATTCTACCAAATGTTTCGAGATTAATCAACAAAAGCATGTACTTTTAAAAATGCATACTTATTGAACAGATTGCAAGAAAATTGAATATTCTTAAGGAATTATTTTGGAGCATAGGTTACTGATTATTATACTCGTGAAATATTTCCTCAATCAACCAAATCTGGTGAATACTTTCTTTGTGGTGTTTTTTCTGCCGCTCTATCCACTAGCATGACCTCTACTTTGATACAGTAAATATTGACACAGATGCCCTAAGAATCGCTTTTTCTAGTGCCTGTCTAAAAATATTGTTAGTATGTTTGTCTCTGACCATCCGTTAACAACTCTAGCATCCAAACTGCTCACACACAACCCCCTCCCACACACACACACACACACACACACACAAACCTACACACATATATGCACAAACATTTTCCAAATTGTTTCTTTTCCGACTGATATGACGGAATTCGACTCGCAGTGAATTTAAAAACTGATTGGGCTATATAAATGCACAGATATTCCCGTCATATTTGTAAAGAGTAGGTATTCTTCAAAATCCTACCTTATTAGTAAGCTGCGGATTTTTGCCTATTTACAATTTTCTCCCAAAATGGGAATTTGCTTCGTTTTGGGAAAAAAATGGGGAACACAAATAGATTGGGACATGCCTGGGGATTTTTTGGGAAGCATTTTCATCCGGATTCGAGATATAAATATTATTCTCTTAATTATTTCGAATAAAAAATGAGTTGTTCTCTTTAATTTTTAAAGATTAGATCGAAATATCGAAAAGAGTCACATAGAAAATGATTTCTAGTAAATTCTTAAATTAAAAGTCATCCCAATTTTATTCATTGCGTTATTCATGGTACGGCCTGATATCACACATGGTTCGATCCCCTCCCCGCTCCGAGATGACGTAACGCGCGGAACGGCTGAGTAAAGAATATATGGCCCGCGAATAATATTAAAGGTTTTAGTTGTGTAACACTGTTATTTATGGCCAAGCGATCTCCAGTAAACGTGATGAATGTTTCAAACATAATATAGTTTCAATAAATTAAAAAATTAAAAAACAACAGTAATTGTTGACACGTTTCTACTGACACGTAAAATTAAAGTTGTATCTTGAGTGTACAAATTATGGACCGAGATACAACAAACAAAATGAAGTTGAACAAAAAGAAATTGAATAAAAAACTGATCCTGAGGCACCTGAGACACAACTATGTTGAAGAAATAGTTATTGCAGTATCATGCCAGTTGCTAGCTAGCTAGACACGAGTAAGTTTTAATAACATGAATTGTTAAGAAAATTATGGTATGGATTTGTGAACACAAAATAAAGTTTTTGTGATTAAAATAATATGACACTTGAAATACTTAAACCAATATTACATGAAATTAACTATGATTCGAAGTTTGACGAAGATATTGACGAGAGTACGTGATGATTTGATTGCCCAACAACTTGCGACACGCTTAACTAGTGGATATGGTAAACAAGTACAATTATTGCAATGTAAACCACGCAGCAAATAAGTAGACATTTATACATCACAACCGTATTATTAATAGTTACACAATTATCAAATTAGCATTAATGAAGTAATCACTGGGAAAATACTATCTGTGATTTTCATATTTGCTATTCCCAGATACGACGAAAAAAGAATGTTCTTATTGGTATTAAAGTTACTGATGCCAATTCCTTTGCATAGGTTTCTGACTGAAAGATAAGTTTACTAAACGATTACTGCACTGGATTGTAAGTGCTTTAAAACACTTGTCACACGAAATGGCTTCCAAGAACATTATTAAAATGCAAAGTTAGAAAAAACGGATATGCTCTTGAAAGCAAGGTAAAATTTGTGGAGCTTGTAGTACATATATGTTCTACTTGACCGAGTACAGAGACTCATCACTCTTTTCGAAAACTTTACCATCTAATGATCCTATTTAAAATTATATATAATTTATAGATCTAGTTCCTGACTATCCGATATTTCAATATAATGAAACGTTAGATCGCTATTAGGATTATTTCTTCTATATATAAAGCGCCACGGAATGATTATAAAAAACAATAAGCACAACATCATGGATGTGTGTTACAGCTGGGTAAGTAATTACCCCTCCCCAAAAGATGCACCAAAGTCATAGAAGAAGAAAAACATAGAAGTTTGCAGATTCCGACATATTTTGAATTCAAACGCAATTGAAATTTCTCGTGTGTCCATATTAAGTTTATTATTAAATCCATTTCTCCTTTATGCTCGTTTATTAACCTACTTAGAGTTCCTTGAACTCTCGTTATTTGTGATGTTTACTACGTATCCTCATTGTTGACATCGCACGTATTTTAATAACACTTAATTTTATTTATATATATTTGGCCCTCTAATGATCCATCACAATAGTACGTAAATCATAACCACGTCTCTCCTCCTAATCACAACTAGCAAAAGGAAAGCTGAATAACGAGAATAGCTAAATTACACACAAGAACGAAAACTCAAAACTTGCAATACAAGTACACAAAAGATTTTCTGTAGTAAATTGCAATCCCCGAAAAGCTAAACTTTTTAATTAGTGGTTTCATACTGTAGGACGCATTGTTCCTGAATAATACACGATGGTAAATTTTGTTACGGCTTGATGTGTTTTGTGGGTTGCATATGCCCCTTAACCCAAATGTGCCACAATATGCAAAGTTTTACGTTTTTATACTTAAATCTCTTTGGTGTACCAGTTGGGAAATATATTTTCTTACCCAGTTGTAATAGATTCCTTAGCATGTCCTTATTTTTCTTTATCAGAGGGAAGAAGAGAATATATTTCCTTAGCGAATTATATTTGGAGGAGATATTCCAAGTGCCGATTTACCGTTTCATTAAATGGAAATATTGAAGTGAAGACTTCGATCAATACATTATATATAATTTTAAATAGGAATGATTAGATCGTGTAGTTTTGTTCATTAGCTTCAATAGAGTATACATCCTACTTGGAAAAGCGCGAACATCTATCCCGGGCACCAACAGCAGTCAAGTAGAACAAACATTTTCCAGGAGCTGCGCAACTCTACTTTACTCGAAAGAACGTATTCATATTAGCTTTTGGTTTTGCATTATAGTAATGCGCTTAGAGTATATTTCGTGTTAACAAATATTTCGTGGCAGGTGTGTCAATGCACCTACAATCCAGTGCAGGGATTGTTTGCAACTTATCTTTCACTCCGAAACTTATTCAAAGCAAATTGGCGTCAATAACTCGTAAACAAAAAAGAACATGCTTTTCTCGACGTGTATGGGAATTCACAGATAGCAGGATCTTCACAGAAAGTAATTTCTCAGTGATTGCTAAATGAATCCATATTTTTATAACTGCCTGTAATTATATGTTTTGTGTACTTATTTACTTCGAGTTTTCAATTGCAAATAATTGTACTTGTTTATAATAACTATTAGTTGAGCAAGTCGAAGTTATTACGTAATCAATAACTTACGAACTCTTGTCAATATCTGCGTCAAACGTCGAATCATAGTTAATTTCATGTAATATTGTTTCATTTAAAATTAATATCATTTAATCCTTAAATGCGCTACATTGACTTACATATACCACATTAAATTCAAACCTACCTTATTGATTACACTCGAGTATTCTTTTCATCAATACCAAGCTTTAAATTCACATTACTTTATTTCTTGACCTTAATATATTTGGACATTAATATATTTAGAGATTTTAATAGAATTGGTTTTCAAATCCGTATAGAAGCATTTCAAACTGTTACTGGATGTGACACCGATCAAATTACTTTCGTATGTACTTCAAGTGTCATAATTTTGATTACAATAACTTAATTTTGTGTTCACAAACTCATGCCTTGTTTTACTTACAATTTATGTTATTAAATATTTCTCATGACTTGCTAGCTGGCAACTGGCATGGTACACACACAAATTATACTGCAATAACTCTTTCTTCAACATACGAATGATTCGTGTACCTCAGGATACACACGTTTTGAATTTAATGTCATCTTCAACTCATTTTTTGCTGTATTTCAGTCTGTATTTTGACACCCAAGATACAACTTTAATTTTTCGCATCTATAAACCATTCGTTAAAATTTTACTATATTTTTACGATTTTTTAATTCATTAAACATTTTCGGTTTGAAATATTCATTATTTTAAGATTATATTGCCTGACCTATCGCACGAAAACAGTGTTCATATGTCATTCGTTAATTATAATTATTATTTCCTGCGAGAGCACATCGGCGCGTATTGCATGCTTTGTGTAACATTTTATTTACACGCCATGAACCATGTCTTATCAAACCGTGCTGTGACTGTACGATCTCTGTTCTATTCTCTGTGATATTTATATACTTACATTCATTTTTATAATACTAACAATTAACAATTTTTTCATTATAATAAATCACCCTCTAGCTATCACTTTACTTATTTTATACAAACACTAATAATCTGTATTATTACAGGATCAATTTCCTTCCCAATAATCTTCCTATGAGGAATACTAGTATTATTCATTTACATTACAAGACTAGCATGAAATGAAATACTTCAATTACCTATTAAAACTATAATT